GCTCCTTTCTCTCTCCTGCCGGTGCTTCCCTCCGCTCACCCGACAGAACGCTGATTTTTCTATTGCGTGTCCTGTGCGTGGTAGGAAATTCGCTTTATTTCATGCCTTTTCTGTAGCGTCGAACACTATTTGTTGGCTTCCAGGTTTTCTCAGCCGCAGCTCCTGGTCTTTGCTCTCCCGTGTGGCAGAACCGGGAGCTGGTGACTTGGTGCGACGACCCCGCCTGTCCCTGCTGGGTTGAAATGTTCCTTGTCTGAGGAGCAAAACAGCCTTTTGACATGATGTTGTTATTTCCAGGTTTCTCTATAGTGAGTTGATGAAGTATGACCCGTCCAATCCTTCCTCTGCAGAAGAGAGCATTTTTGAACCAGCGGGAGGGAAGAGACTCAAAATAAAGAGCAGCGTTACCTTTCACCTCTACGTCAGGTTCGTGCGGGGTGGTGCAGGGAGAGACCGGCGTCGGCAGCGCTGTCGCGGCCGTGGCCCTGGCTGTTTGCTGAGAGTCAGCGCTAACCTGGGGGGTGTTTGTTTTCTAGCACAGCACCTTGTGGAGACGGGGCGCTCTTTGATAAATCCTGCAGCGATCAGGCGAGCGTGGTGGGGCAAGCCCAGCATCAGCCACTCTTTGAGAACCCCAAACAAGGCAAGCTGCGGACCAAGGTGGAGAACGGTGAGTGCGTTCGCTCCCTGCACGCAGCGGGTGGCTCCAGTCCTCTCCTCTCAGCCTTTCTGGAGCTCCAGGGTTTCCTTACCCTCTCTCTGTGGGATTTGAAGCATTCAGGAGCCAAAGGGGGTGGATAAAAGGGATGGGGGCATTAGAAGGAGTCCCTTCTCCTTCCCCGGTCTGCCTGTTGGACTGCTCCGCTAGCAAGAGTACAGCTTTGCCACGAAGCTTCTATGTCTCTGACCTCCCTTTCAAGCGCTGTTTCATTCTGCTTCAGCAAAGTGGAAAATAACTCATCTGTAATCAGTACTGAGTTCCCTTTTTCATGTGATACTAAAATGTTCCCCAAACCCAGAGACAGACCGACTCCAGAGGTCACTCCATGCGTGTGCATAGAAGATAGTTTCTCGTGCAGTTGCTGACGGGGTTTTGTTTTATTGAATATCTGACTCTTTACAGAAAAGCTTTTCTTCTTCTCTTGTGCAGGGGAAGGTACCATTCCTGTGGAGTCGAGTGACATTGTGCCTACGTGGGATGGGATCCAGCACGGGGAGCGGCTGCGAACCATGTCCTGCAGCGACAAAATCTTACGCTGGAATATACTCGGCTTGCAAGGGGCGCTGCTGTCACACTTCATAGAACCGGTTTATCTCAGCTCTGTTACGCTCGGTACGGATGTGCTGCCCCGCTCCTACAGCGACGAGTAACCTCCCTTCCCCAAGTGACGGGAAAGCTTCTTTGTGGAGGCTGTGGGAGTAACAGACTGAACCGTCGCTCTTGGCAGAGCTGTGCTGTTTGGGAGTGAAAAGGGAGTTTGTGGATTTTATGCTGTGGGTGGAGTGGGTTTTTCTCCAAGGTTTGCGATTTTCAGAAGGCGCGTGTGATACAGGAAGGTGAGACAAAAATCGCCCGTTTGTGTCTTCAGTGAGAAATGTTGCACTCTATAAACCTCCATCTTACACATCTCGTGTATGCGTAGCTGTTGCTGATCCGCATGGCCGTGAGCTTTCTGGAGCTTGTGAGAAGCGCTGTGCTTTTGGGGGTTTGGTCTGTCCATCACCCGTGTCCTTCCTGTTTCCTAACGCCTTCGCGTCTGTCTTCACAGGTTACTTGTACAGTCAGGGTCATTTAACACGTGCCATCTGCTGCCGCCTGGCAAGAGACGGGAGCGTGCTGCAGGAAAGGCTCCGGGCTCCGTATCACATCAACCATCCCGAGGTACTGCGGGCCTGGCACCCCTTTGCCTTTTCATCCCCCGATTCCACCTCCTCCCTTGGGTTTCGGGCCTCGCTCCGCAGGGGAAGGTGTCCTGGCAGAAGCTTTACAGCCAGGGTCAGGAAACCTGCGCGCTTTGTGTCGTCCCACAGCGTGTGGGGCTTCCTGGCAATGACTTGATCTGGGAAAAAGGAGACCGAGGTCACCCCTGTAGCCTTCGGCTTAGTAAGAACCTAGTGCTTGCTGCTCTCGGGAGTTTGGGATGAGCTGAACCCCCGCCTGCAGGGGATGGAAGAGGGAAAAGGCTCCCCTTACCAGTGGGCTGGCGCAGCAGGACCGGTGTTCAGAAACCCTCTTGCTTCTCGCGCAGGTTGGGCGAGTCAGCGTATACGACTCCGCAAGGCAGACAGGCAAGACGAAGGAGTCTTCGGTGAATTGGTGTCTTGCTGATGAAAGCGAAGTTGAAGTCTTGGATGGCACAAAAGGGAAAGTAGATGGGTAAGAAGAGCTTCTCCTGACTCTGCTTTTCTTTTTGGGGGAAAGGGGGGCAGCTCTGAAGTCGCGAGTACACTCTGCACCTTACGTGTGGGGAGGGTTGGAGAGAGGGATTTCAAACTGATGTGAGCGAGCGCTCTCGAAGCAAAACACAATATTGCCCGGGCCCTACAACAGAGCCCTGCTGAGCCGAGAGATCTCACAGGCATCCCGTTGTGCCTTTTTCCCTGTGCCCCCTTCTCCTCTTTGCTCTTCTGAGTGTCGTGTCCTTCATTGCTGCCTTTGTCTCCCTTCTCAGACCCAAGCTGGAGGTGTCTCGTGTGTCCAAGAGGAAAATGTTCGCCCTCTTCCAGCAGTTATGTGCCAAGAACGACCGCAAAGACCTGCAGAACCTCTCGGTGTACTCGGATGCGAAGGAAGCAGCCACGGCATACCAAGAAGCCAAGCAGTGCTTCTTCAGCGCGCTGGAAGAGATGGGCTACGGCAGCTGGATCCGCAAACCCCAGGAGGAAGATAATTTCTCCTTCTCTGATGCATAATGAGACGCCCTGCGCGTGCAGCGGGGGGGTGAGCGCGCACAGGCGTGTGCATGGGTGTCTGCGTCCTTCTTCCAGCACCTTCTTTTTTGAAGTGAAATCAGGAACGTGCAGCAGTTTCCCCCGTAGGCCTGGCTGCCTTCTTTCTCTGCTCTCGTTACCCCGAGACCCTGCCCTTTCCCTTTTTAAAACGTGCATGAAAATTACTGTCTTTTTTTAAGCTAGGGCAGGCTCAGTCTCTGTTTGCTTTTATGTTTTCCTCGCCTCTGTTTTTGTTTTTGGGGTTTTTTTTTTTATAAAAGAAGGCACAAGAAACCAGAGGGACTCTTGGACTGTGAGCTCAAAACCTTCGGACCATGTACTGCATTGCACTGCGTTTCCCTCTGGCAGGTTTTGAGGCAAATTATTCTCTTTTGAGAGAGAGGAGAAAAAAAAAAAAGAAAAAAAAAAAAGGCAAAAAGTTGTCTGGCTGGTTTTATGTGTCTCTGTCGGAAGGTGGCTGGCAGCCCGGCTGAGCTGGGACATGGGACTGATCTTGGCAAGACAGCCGCCAGGACCAGCATAACATTCCACGTTAATAATAAAAAAAAAAAAAAAAAAAAAAAATTCTGTATTCCAGCTGGCTGCGGGCCGTGGGGGTGTGTGAATTCCTGCAGGGTGAGAGAGGGGCCCCGGGTGGAGCTGGGTGGGGTTTGGAGAGGAACGGGGCTGAGTTATCGTTTGCTAAATGACGAGTGATCTGCATAGAACTGTGCCAGTTGTGAATTAAGCCTCTCGCCTTAACCAGGGCCCTCTTGGGCAGAATTGAGCTCTCGGAGGGCTCCAGCGTACCCTGAAACGACGGGGCTCCTTCCCCCACTTCTCTCTTTGGGGTGGGGTGTCTCCTCTCCAGTCTGGGGAGGTCACTCAGGGGGCTGGTGGTGGCTGCAGGACATGCTGTGTGTCTGCTTGTCTGAGCTCAACCGTGCACTAGATGGTGAGAATCACAGAATGGTTTGGGTTGGAAGGGACCTTAAAGACAATCCAGTGCCACCCCCTGCCCTGGGCAGGGCCACCTCCCCCCAGCCCAGGTTGCCCCAAGCCCCGTCCAACCTGGCCTTGACCACCTCCAGGGATGGGG